ACGTCTCGCTCTCTGCAGAACCAGAAGCTGCTGCTGGAAAACCAGCTGCTGCGGGAGAGGACGTGTAACCTCGCTCTGGAGAACCAGGAGCTCCGCTGCCGTCTGGGTTTAGACGCTCTGAAGACGGAGGAGGAGGGTGGCGAGTCCAAGGTGAGACGTGTGCCCCCGGTCCTGGGCTCCCGCCGTGCTGTGAGGTGGGGATGTGCCAGGAGCTCCCCTGTCCTCCCAGTGAAGGCTCCCTTGAAACTGAACAGGTGCCACGTCAAAGTGGGCAGTGTAGCAGATAACAGGCTGACTGGTTCCAGCCTGCTTAGAGATCATTTCATCTGCTCTTCTCTGTTTGTTGAAGCGAAGGAGAACTGTTAGTCACATAGGCCTGTCTCAAAGGAGTGGGGGATGTAGTGGAGGGGGTTCAGACTCTCACTTAAAAGTGGCCAACAAAATAAATCTGCAGGTGTATGGAAGTTCCAGCTAACTCTGGAAGTGGTCTTGCCTTCAGGTTCCTACAACACAAGCAAGTGAATAATCTCATGTTAGAAGCCTTTGCAGAAAAAAACCAAACATGATTGTCAGGATTACGTACTGTACTGTCTGGCAGAGCTTTTGCAGTGACTGAATGTTTTCCCTTGGCACAGGTGGTGAAGGAATCACAGGTGGAGGAGATCAGATTGGTGACCGGGTCCGCTGAGTCCGCAGCACTCAGACTACGTGTTCCTCTGCAGCAGGTGCAGGCCCAGCAGTTACCACTTCTGATAGCTTCCACGTGGATTCTGGTGGCAGTGACTCTTCAGACTCTGGGGTGAGCGTCCCCTCCCATGCAGCCTGTCCATGGAACTCAGAACCACTGCGGGTTTAGGATTGGTGCTGTAACTTCTTGATGTTACGTGATGATTTTTCTATAGTTGGCTTGTTTTCCAAGTCTTGGAATGCCATACCTGCCTGTGCTCAGCACAGCTGTTAGGCTGTATCCAGTGAGTTCAGGAAAGCCCAAACAACCCTCAGCTCCTCAGGTTTGGTGATGGGCAGGTGTCCCGAAGCTGGGGCCTGGGATGTGCTCTGTGTAGCCAGAGGCACTGTGGTGTTCTGTACTGGATGTGTCCAAGGCTTTGAGGAGCTTCTGATAGTGGCTGTGACTCACAAGGGCATGTAAAATTCTGCATGCAGAATATCCTTACTAAAAACCTAATGGACAAAGAATTTCTGAAAGATAAGTAACTGCCTTAGCTGTGTGTTCATGTGTGTTCTTGGTGGAACTCCTGTGATCACATTAGTGTGCTTTAATTTCTAGGTGGGGGTTAATAGATGCCACAACTGGGGTTTTGCTGTAACAGTAGTAGGCTGTCTTTCTAAAACAGTATTTCATTCTGCAGTCTGATCTCCTGTTGGGCTTTCTGGACAGTCTGGACCCAGAGGTGTTTCTCAGATACGCCAGTTCAGAGTCAACGTGCCTGGAAAAGCTGGAGGAAGACATCCCTGGAGAAACAAATTCCCTACCACCCTCCATCTCTCCCTCTTTGGGGTCCCCATCAGCTAAGCTGGAGGCCATTAATGAACTGATAAGGTTTGATCATGTGTACACCAAGCCCCTAATACTGGAGATTCCTGTGGAAGTGGGCAACCAAACCAATATGCTAGTGAAAGTTGAGCAAGTACCTGTCCCTTCGTCTGAAGACAAAGCTACGCCTGAGGTCCCAGTGTCTGTGAAGGAGGAACCTGCAGACAGCTTCATGCCTGAACTGGGCATTTCTCACCTGCTTTCTTCTCATCATAGCCTTCCAGCCTCAAGCTACCTGTTGGATGCCTGTAGTGACTCTGGATATGAAGGATCCCTGTCACCCTTCAGTGACATGTCCTCTCCACTTGGCACTGACCATGTGTGGGAGGATAGCTTTGCCAATGAACTCGTTCCCCAGCTTAGCAGTGTCTAACTCAGTAGTGTTAAGTCCCCTTGGATAACTCTCCTGGAAGGATATCAGCTTTTAGCCCCTTTAGGGGAGGTATGTGTGGGGAAAACCAAGTGTATTCAGAACAGTGTTGCTCATTTCTACCCTTGCAAGTAGATGGAGTGATGGTATGAAACAGCCTAGGCTCTCCTGCCCTGCCTCCCAATAGGTGTTGGCTTATGAGGGAGGAGAGTTTGTTTCCCAGTAACTTGCTAATTCTATATGAACCTGAAAATGTTCTTTTCCATTTAAGATTGTAACACCAAAAACTGCAATGGGATATTCATGTATAGACAACTGGGGCATAATAGTCTACATCTTACAGCTTTCCTGTGTAAATGTTTGCTTTCCATTTGCTATGTAGAGTTGCTTTCTCCATTTGATATTTAAGTGTATCAGTGCAATTAAAGTGCAATGCAGCTCACTGACCCTTTTTTTTTGCTTTAGATCTCATTGGGGAGGGGAGAGTTACCTGGGCCTTGGAGAATATGAAACTAGAAGTTCTAAGTTTAGGTCTCTCAGTGTCTCATCCTGCCACAGTACACTGATGAGCAGCACTTGAACGGTGCCTGTAGCTGGATGCTTTAGCAGCTTCTCTCTGGGGACACTTGATGTGGTGGAGGGGTTGGTGTGAGGGCCAGAGCTGCTAGAACAAAACCTTGAGCCTCAGTTAGGGAAGGCACATGGCAGGGGCTTGAGGGCTGAATGAAATCAAGGTGCTGTTGCCCTGGTGGGGCCAGTAATGCCATCCAAAATGCTCAGGCTGAGGGATGTAAGATGGACACAGGGTGAAAAAGGTGCAGATTCTGTGTTACCACAGGGAATCCTGAAGCATGAGATGAACTGGACAGCAACTAATTTCAAATACCACAGCAGGACTCTTGTCCACATCCATTTGCTCTTACATCATAATACTAAAAAAGCTTGGAGGGACAAAAGAAACACTACTGAAAGTGAGAGAGCTGCTGCAGGTGTTTGCACAGCTGTTCCTGATTTCTGTGCTGTTTCATGTTTTGTGTTCAGTTATGACAAAAATAACTTGAGGTGGGAGGAAAAGAAACTAGGGCATGGGAGGGATTGGGTCACTCACAGCCAGGGTGACACAGCTGCTTGCAGTAAAGCAAAATAGAATATCTGAAGAGTGGACAGAGGTAAAGGCTACAGCTGTGCAATAAAATTTAGGTTGAGAAATGTAAGTAATCAGAATAAATGGCTTTAATTTCAAGCTGGAAAATAAGGATGACTGCAAGAAGGACCCTTAGAATCAAATAAATTGCTGTGAGTCCAAAAAGCAAACAGAAGTGAGGATTTGATCCATAGTGGTGTTACTGGAAATCATATGGCATTAAATTCACTTTTTAAGTAGTGCAATAGATGAGTAAACACAGTAACTGATGAAACTGTCAGTTCAGTGCTGCAGACAATGTGTGTACCTGTGAATTGGGTGTTCCCCTCTGAGACTCCCATTTTTCAGTCTTCAGGAGCTGATTGCAGCTGTGGGTGAAGTGGAACTTTTGCTGATACACACACCCCTGAGATGTCAGGTTATCAAGGATCTTTCTCACTCAGGTTTCACTCATCCAATGTTTAGCATTGGAACTGCATTTTTTGTGCACCTAGACAAGCTACAGTGACTTAATAATGCAGCAAGAAAAGGTGGCACAGCAAACTGACTTCATTGACCATGCAAGAATCTGCCTGGAAACCTTAACATCCACCCGTGTACATTTGGACTGTCTTCACAAAAGAATGTGGCTCCAGCCTTTATGTTTAAAGGTGTAGAAATCCTGTCATTTCCTTCAGAAATCCATGGGGGAAAAGGCCAAAACCAAAGGAGTACAGAGTAGCTTAGAGCACAGACACCCTCTGATACCTGCACAATTGCAGAGGCGTTGCCAGCAGTGCTTAAGGAAGATTCTTTTTCTTTTCATGCTAGCTCAAGGTTAAGATACACCAAAGTCAACTGGCAGGATGAGGAAGAGTGGGGATCATGATGTGAACTCTTGGCAAACTGCACTTGGGGAAAGTGTTGACCTTTGTTTGCAGTGAATAAGGAAGTTTAAAGGTTTATATTCAGCTGTTGAGGCACAAAAGGAGAGCCCAGTATCACACACACTAAATCCAAGAACTCAACAAGAGTAATTCAGGTCAAACTAAGACCAAAGCAGGGCCACCTTTCACCAGCTTACAGAAGCACAGAAAAACTACCTTTAATAAAAAAACCCAAACACCTGGAAAAGTTTGTCTAGGCAGGAAATGGCTGTAGGCAACTTTTTTAAACTGTTGTTTTGCTTGAAGGCAAAAGCTGCTGGAAACACTGAAGGACCTGCTACTACTGACATGTCTGACAGACAGAAGTTCAAGAGCTGTATATGGTACACTGAAAGAAATATGAATGTACACAAGACATGGCCATCTTAAGCAAAAAAATCCTGTACCCATTGTCAGCCTTGTCTGTGCTTCAGCCTTGAGCAAGAAAAATCCGCTGTGTAAGGGACTGCCTCAAACAACATTGAAAAGGAAACAAATTACACCTCTGCTGCATTTGACTTCCCCTTGTTCTTAAGTCAAACTAGTTTGCAGCTGCTAGGCAACCTTCTGCTTCAGTCCTGAGTCAGTGATGTAAGAAAATGCTCCCAACTGTGAGATCTGAAATTGCTTTGATTTATTAAAGTTGGTGGTGGTTTGAACCAGCATCTTGAGTAAATGCAGTTTGATAGCTGCACACGTAAGAGCCTGTGCTAGAGCAGCAGCCAAGTGCTTTGGAGCCAAGGCTGCTCCTGCAGTGGGGGCACAGGTCCCTTTGCTTTGCTGTCACTGCAGCAGCTTCTTGTCACTGGCACAGAGCACTGAACTCAGACCTGTCCGTGTGCCACCACAGGTGCCACCAAGGGGATGGGAGGTGCAGTCTGGAGCAGACAGCTGCTGTTTTCTGCTCGGGGAGTGACACCCCTGCAGCATGTCCTGCTGCTCTCCTAGCAGGGAGGAAAAATCTGTGCAGGTGAGGATGGCACAGGTGGCACACA